AGCACAATCCCGGCCGGCACAAGAGCCACCCGGGCTCTGGAGCGAAGCAGTGTGCTAGCCCCCGGGCTGGCGGCTCGGCCACCCCGAACGGGCTGCTTGCCCATCAGAACCCCACGGTGCACGTCACCACCTGGCCAGTGGCAGCACCTCCAAAGGTGCCTCACCAGCAGCTCCAAGCCATCCTCGCAGCTCCGTAACGATGCTTTGTTCTTGCAGACCACCTCTGGTCCTGGCCCCCTTACAAAGCGCGCCCTGCAGCACGCCCCCGCTGCCGCCCTCCCCAGCATCTCCTGCTTTGAAGCCATTCCCAATTCAAATCCTGTTGCCAGTCCCCAACCCACCCCCCAACGCAGAACAGGCTGCCGGAGGGGGACCACGCAGAGCCCCCCCCAGAGGTACCGCACTAAAGGCTGAATGGTTTTTCACATCCTACCTGTGACGGTCACCAGCATGGAGGCCACGAGCGGACGGTTGTTGTCCAGCTTACGGCTCAGCCTCAGCTCCCCACTCGACTGATTTACAATCAACAAGTGCAGTTCGTTCCCCCGCTCAAAGGTGTAGAAGAGGCGGTCAGACACATCTGGGTCGTAAGCTGGGACCTTCCCTATGACCCCTGAGGGGAAGGTGTTGGACTTATTGGACACGTAGTTATTGAAGAGGATCTGGAAGTTCTTGAGAACAGGGCTGTTGTCATTCTGGTCGATGAGTTTGATGTGGACCGTGGCTCTGCTGACCAGTGGGGCAGAGGTGGCCTGCACTACGATCACGTACTCAGGTCTTGTCTCATAATCCAGGTCTATCAAGGCTGTGAGTTCCCCAGAGAAGATGTCCATCTGGAATATCTCAGGGATGTTGCCTTCCACAATTTGGTACATGATCTGGGCGTTGGGTCCCTCGTCGGGGTCAACGGCTGTGATTTGGGCCACGACAGAGCCTACGATGCTGTTCTCCTTCACCAAGACCTCAAACTCCTCAGCAGGGAAGACGGGGGCATTGTCATTCACATCCTGAATGGTCACCTGGATATGGACAGGAGTTCGCTGAGCGGGGATGCCCCTGTCCACAGCGTATGCAGTCAGCTCATAGACAGGAACGTTCTCACGGTCCAGCCTGCGGACAGTGCGAATGATCCCCGATGTGGGCTCTATGGTGAAGTCTCCATCCCCATCCTCCCCGTTCTGGAAGGTGTACTGCACTCGCCCGTTGGTGTGAGCATCCCGGTCAGTAGCAGAGATCTGGAGCACACTGGTGAAGGGAGGCGCATCCTCAGAGATCATGCCCTGGTAATGAGGGCTGACGAACTGGGGGGCATTGTCATTAACATCGTTCACCATGATTTCAACATAGGTGGTGTCCGCTTTCTGGGGGATCCCATTGTCCTTGGCAGTGATAGCCAACGTGTAGGTGACCTGGTCCTCATAGTCCAGTTCTGCCTGGAGAGTGATGGCCCCAGAGTCTGGATCGATGCGAAACTGAGGGACATTATCCTCCAGGTAGTATGTGATGCGGGCATTTTCCCCCACATCATCATCAGTGGCACTGATCACCACCACAGTGCTGCCCACGGGCCGGTCCTCGTTGATGCTCACAGAGTAGTGGGCGCTCTGGAACACGGGCCGGTGCGTGTTGGCATCCGTGATGTTGATGTGAACGTGGCAGTTGTCACGCAGGGTGCGGTCAGAGGCCGTCACGGTGAGCACGTAGCGCCTCTCCTGCTTGTAGTCCAGTGGCAGAGACAGAGTGATGAGCCCCGTCCCGCCTTGCGTGCTGATGGAGAAGCGGTTCCGCGTGTTGCCTCCCGTGATCTGGTAGGTGATGGCACTGTTCACATCCCGGTCGATCGCTGTGACACTGAGGACGCTGGTCCCCACGGCTGCATCCTCGTTCAGGCGGATGAAGTACTCCTTCTGGGTGAACTCGGGACGGTTGTCGTTGACATCCATGACAGTGATGGTGACGCTGGCAGAGGCAGATAAGGATGGAGAGCCGTGGTCCCGAGCCTCCACGCCAAAAAAGTAGTGCTCAACCGACTCCCGGTCCAAGGGCCCGCTGACCGTGATCCACCCCGTGGCACTGTTCACCACGAAGGGTGTGTCGGCCGAGATCCCCGTCAGTTTGTACTCCAGGCGTGAGTTCTCGCCGTAGTCCGCATCCACAGCCTGGATGTGGATGACGGAGTGTCCGAGGGGAGCATTCTCCAGGACAGAGATTTGGAAAGGGGTGCTGACAAAGATAGGGGCGTGGTCGTTGATGTCCACCACCTGGATGCTGGCCATGCCCGTATTGTTAGAGAGGGGAGGGCGCCCCGCATCCTGAGCCCGGATCCTCAGGGCGTACTCCCGCTCCACCTCGAAATCCAGCGGGGCCACCACCTGTATCTCCCCAGTGACGCTGTCGATGGAGAACTGGCCCCGGCTGTTCCCGCTGATGATGTTGTAGTGCACCAGTGCATTGTTGTCCTTGTCCAGGTCGGTGGCGGTGACGCGCAGGATCTCAGTGTGGGGCCGAATGTCCTCCCTCACTTGGACGATGTAGCGCTTCTCACTGAACTGAGGGGTGTTGTCATTCTCGTCAAGGACCGTGATGTAGACCTTGACGGTGGCGGAGCGGGGCCCGGGCTCCCTCCCCTGGTCGTTAGCCTCCACCACCAAGGAGTACCTCTCCATCTTCTCCCTGTCCACAGGCCCACTGGTGGTGATGAGACCGGAGCGTGGGTCGATCTCGAAGACGGCGTGGGCCGCCCGCTCGTTGACGAAGCGGTAGCGGATGTTGGCGTTGGGCGGGGAGTCGACGTCGGTGGCGCGCAGCTGCAGGATGGGGTATCCCTCCTCCACGTTCTCCCGGATGGTTTCCCGGTACTCACCCTGCTCGAAGACTGGGTCGTGGTCGTTGCGGTCGGCCACGGCGATGGCCACCATGGTGGTGGCGGAGAGCCGCGGCGCGCCGTGGTCTGCG